TATTTTATATATAAAATACCAAAATTATACATTTATACATAGATTTTTTAATCCTAGCCTTTATAAAACTACAAAAATAAATATATTTATTTAATTTAATTACAAAAGAGATAAAAAGACTAGAAATCTATGATTTGTATTTTGTATTGGATAAAATTCAAATATATAACATGTTCTTAAAGAGGTTTGAATTGCTGAAGTATATGTTATTGGATAAAATATAGTTATGGGCCTCAACTTTTCATCGATTGGCCCAAATTCATTTATAAACTCACGTGTTAGTAGCACGTGCTTATCATCTTCTTCGTGTGCAAACCTAATTTTTATATCTGGAACTGTATCTTCAAAAATCTCAAAAACTTTTGACCTTCGAAATAGCATATAAAAAAATTTGGGCTTGACGATTTTGCTACAAAACCGTCGATTTTGGTTAAACCAAGGTTAACGCGGTAAAAAATCGGTCTTCCGCCTAATGCCTCCGAACAGGTCCATCTCGCCACGGTGCCCACCGCCGACCGTTTTCTTGGCCACCGTTAACTCGGCCGAGTTTTAGAACAAGGATATTTATACAGAAAACTCATTACATAAATCTATAGTTTCTACCACATGTTTTTATTGCAAGTTACATCAAAAATTACAATATTTAGGTTTAGCGCTCTTCATCAAAAACAAAACAAAACAAAAATAAGCCTTAAAAAATCTACTTTCTTTTCCTTTTTATTCATTAGAATGTTTAATATCCATAAAATAAGCCATTTATATGGTAAAATACTAAGAAAAAGATCAATAAAGATGTTTTATAATCGAGAATAGAAATATTATAGGGAATTTTCAAAAATGGCATTTTTGGTGTGTCAATTTTCAAAAATGCCACTATAAATTGTCCATTTGCAAAAATACCACTAATTAAAAAAATAAACATTAAATCTAACAATTATAACTTCTAAAAAAGGTTTTGACCTCTAACACATCTTAAACCCTCAAAACTAAACCATAATACAACATAGTTAATCCAAACATAAATGATATATTGAGTAAATAATTTTGAAAACGTGGCATTTTTGTAATTTTTTTGAAAAAGTAGTATTTTTGAAAAGTGACATTTCAAAAATAGCATTTCTCAAAAGTTCTCAATATTATATGACACATTTAAAATATAATTAAATATAATTTATCTTACAGTATTTATTTACATAACATTTGGTTTGGATATATGCAATTTAAGTATAAATTGAATATGTTTGAGATTTTAGATTCTATCAAATTTATTTGTCAAAAATTATTTGATTAAGATGTTATGTAAGAAACTTATAAATTCAACCAAAACAAAAATATAATGCATTATTATGTAAAAGTCTTTTACAATAAAAGAAGTGAAATTTTGAAATCAAATATTATTTTTCTTTTCAATTCTTTTGGTATATACTGCTTGGATTTCACTAACACTGCCGGCAAAAAAATAAAAATACTGCTTGGATTTCACTAATATTGACAACTTGTGTAGATGGGTGTTAGTTATATAAACTCAAATATTTAAAGAGAAATTTTAAAAAATGCCATTTTTCAAGTGCCACTTTACAAAAATGCCATACTTTTGAAAATTTTATAAAAATGCCACTTTTTCAAAATTATTTTTTTTTTATATTATTTATGTTTGGGTTAATTATGTTCTATTTGGGTTTAGTTACGAGGGTTTAGGGGTCAAAAAAATTTTTAGTGTTTAGAATTTTAAGATATAGAGTTTAAAAATCTATAATTAGTGACATTTTTGCAAATAAACACCCCTAAAAAGCATTTTTACAAATATGCACATAAAAAATGGCATTTTTGCAATTTTCCTATATTTAAATTGATTGCAAATGGAATAATGATTCTTGTATGTCTTTAATAATTAAAAAGAATGTTTGAAACTAAAAGATATATGAAATATTTTATTGATAAATATATCATGTTTTATGTGAAAATTAAATAAATATATGTATATTTACAGTAGAATTACACGATTATACCAAAAACTTAACTTTAAAATAATTAACTATTAAACAGTATTAAACAAAATAGAGAAATTTCAAAAAATGCCATTTTTCAAGTGTCACTTTACAAAAACGTCATACTTTTGAAAGCTTACAAAAATATCAATTTTTCAAAATTATTTTTTTTATATTATTTATGTTTGGGTTAATTATTTTCTATTAGGGTTTAGGGGAGTTTAGGGGTCAAAATATTTTTTAGTGTTTAGAATTTTAAGATATAAAGTTTAAAAATCTATAATTATTGGCAA